GGCGAGCAGCCATAAATAAATAGATATTTTATTGTCGAGAACGCGAGGCACGCCTACACAGACTGTGTTGAGACCCAATGTCCAAGATGTTAATTTGGTTGACAACATGAAGACATGCCTAGGTGTGGCTGCGTAGTCGTGAACCAGACTGTTGGGGTCCATAGTCGAGTTAAAGGTCAAGTTCGCCATTTCCTTACTGCGTTACTGCGTTCACGTGGGTTAGAAATGTTTGATTTTATCTGCCATGACACTTAGGAGTCTATTTAACGTATTCCTCTTTCGCTCCTGAACGCTGCATCCGTATCGTTTAGTCGTTGGATCCAACTTACTTGTCTAGTCGACTGGAATTCCAAAAATTGACTATCACAGGACGGCTTTCAATGCGTTACTCGTCACTCGGAAATCTGGATAACGCGCATTAAATGACTAACTTAACAGGGAAGAATATTTTAATAACGCGTAAAAGTCTACTTGAGTTCCATGTGGCGACATTTGCTCTTTTCTGCATAACCGAAAGCACAGTGCAGTCCCCAACACTCTTACTACCTGTATCCCTGTCAGCCTTCGCAACAATTGTGCTCACGATGAAAAATCGACCAAAGGTTGTTCTGATTATTTTGGGAGATGGGATGAGGCATGTGAGGTGGTTAGATTGCTATACTGCGCTGTGTACGTGTTTCCTGCCCGATTGCAACTGAGTTTTAAGGTGGAATTATAAGATGGAGCCGGTGTTGTTAAGTCCTGTGATGGTAATTTGCTTGCTCATTGCATACAAGTGAGACTTCCGTTATCTTCTTCTTAGCTAGGAGCTATTGTACACAAATGTCCTACTCATAATTGATGAGTTTTGGATCGTAGATCGTATCAGAGACCACCGTGGCTCATCCTTGATTATTTTCCGGCTGTGTGGGCTATACCATACTTCCCACGCGCCCTCTGTTTGTATATGCATTCTCTTCGTATCCCTAGTGGTATACAACTCCGGAAACGAAGGCTACGGACTATTCGAATTCTCAGTGACTGCTTTTCTGAGCGTCACTCCTTTTACTGTTATCATTTTTGCGAGACTAAATTCTTTTCATTTTGGTTCTCGCCCATGAGTTGGTCCTTCCTCAAATTCATTCAAGTCTCCTTTGTGACATATCCTAATTTTGGAGGGATTGTCTGTTGCATGGTGGTTCTTGTCCCCGGTTGTTGAGGCTGCTGTGTTCAAGAGCTTTGCTCTCATTCAGTCACTTTTATGTAACAGATTTGCCATTTAATCGGACAACTTTGTGGACGGTGTTGTTATCCGCTCTCTTTAGTTCTCGGACTCCCTCGGTATTTTAACCAAGGTCCGCTTCATCGGTCTTTCTATACCTTCGCCATATTGATTGCATTCGTAGTGCACTTGAATTACTCCCTAAGGATCTGACTTGTATCCGTAATCCAATTGAATTTGGTCGTTAATGCATTTGGTTTGCATCCAATGTCTTTGCGTGGCACTATGTGCGCACTGTCCAGAAATCGAGTTAGCCCACACTAGCCAATGAAGGTACCGTATAGCACGGAATATAAGCCGATGATTTTTGGACAACTTTTCTTTTCTGTAGTGGGGTCTTGGCTTATGAAAATTGCTATACGGAATTTGAAAAAACCACATGCAAAATCTACCCAGCAATTCACTGCTCATCCCTGCATTTATCTCCCCTTAGCGCCACCAGCTTGTGAGGAACTGTATTCTAGACGGGGATTTGAAGTGCCTATAACTGGAAACGTTACATTGTGTCAAAAACTCTCGGTGTATTGCACTTGTGACGTTCGCGATGGATGGCAGTAGCTCGTCAAAAGCCCTAAAACATTAGTTATGCCAGGTGATCCGGTGCCTTAAAAGTACAACGTCGCCCCAAACACCTGACCGTAAACTTCGCTTTCACTCACTGCTTGAGACCCCCGATGCGGTTAAACTCACTTCTCAAGGCCCTACACCCCACTAACCGCGATTATAAAGCAACACGGTCACCACAACTGACCAATAATAGAGCAGCTTTAACTTACACTCACTCAACTGAGAGCAGGTAGTGTTGACGTCAATATCGTGAAGAAACCAGTTCGTTTCTCTTTTGTTGATTTTTAGGGGTCGGCTACTACAGGGACTTACGATTTCGGACAGATTTAACGTTTCCATGTTATACTGTAGGCTTATCTATGAACGGGCTTATATTCGGTAATATACGGTAGACGTACTGACCCTTGCATGGGTAGAATACTTTGGTGATATGCTAACGAAGACGCGCGGACGTCCTAACCTCTATTCAGCGACGAGTCGCTTCGCAGGTCAGGCGCATAAATCTGTCCAAACACACGTGCAGCGGCTGCGTTGAGGGTTTAGTAGACTGCCATGTACGTAAATGCATGCGTTGCACTAGCACCAGTGTATGTGGCTGCATCTAACGCTGCAATGCGTCATCCAAATAGCGATCTTAAGGCTTGTTTAACGTTGTGTTTGAGAACACAAGTTGCACAGCCGAAGGGTTAGAACAACCTACGATCACTCGTGCTGGAAAAGGGCATACGACTGCACAATTCCGGTGTGTTCGGATACAAAGCCAGTTACGGATGCATGACTGCGATTGATCGGCGCCTATGGTGCCAAAATCTGATGACGTACTTGCGAGGAAAGCGATTAAAGGGGCTTACGCAACTTGCCATTGAAATACCGGCTGGAAGGTGGTCACTTGTGTTCATGCCCACAAGCGTCATGTGTAGCCTAAGTGGCTGCCGTACTACGCGCACTACCCTACTGCACCGCATATCAAACGGACTAATAAGATAGCATCATTTCTCCTTTGTTGGTCGGGAACTTAACTGACTGGTCGGCTTGCAAATGTAATGTTCCATCAGTCTGCAGCGCGGAACTTCCAGTTAAGATAAGAGACGAGAAAAGTATTACCTTCCCTAATATAAAAGTTTAATGTCCTTTTCTTACACTAAATAATTTTTTGTGGACTTTGATGACAATACAGTATGCGTATAAACAGAGAACAAAAGTTGGTGTGTGGAAGCAACTAAGTGCTCCCTTGCGACGGATGAAAAATGGTACAAGTAGACGTTCCTGTTGAATGAATGGCTGTCAACGTTACAGATGTGCGTGCACATGCTTACACTTAATAGGTATGTGTGCTGCGTTCCCACTGTCAAGAGTTAAAGATTACGGCGGAAAAACAGAAATATATCCCTTGTGTATAGAAGTTCAGCTGCTGTTCATTAAGACAAAAATATAATGTTCTCGCTGATTCGAAGAATAATTAGTGCAGTCAACAGTAGTCTACATACTAAATGTCGTTTAAATGTGTTTTCACCCCAGGAATGTTATAAAAGTCCTTGATATCCACCTAAGATACAGACCGGAGAAACACTACCTCTTGCAAACTGCGGACTTGTGCAGCCGCTGTGCAAGCGCGATGGCGGTACGCATTGATAACACAAGCATGCCGTATTCGTTAATGGTGTTACGATGAATATCACAACGGTTTGGCGTGTTCGACCCTAGGTACTACATAGGCATTGCCGGTGACGAAATGGCTTATCGTAAACCGCCGGCAGCTTTGACTACCTTCCTACCGTTCTCCTCTACCGCAGAGATGTTTTGTCCGAAATGCCCAACCTTTAAAAAAGGAAGGGGGTACAGATTTCGCTAAATGGAAACCAAACGAAACAACTTAGTCCATGATGTGGTTAGAGGACAACGTTTCCTTTTTGACACGGAAGCTTCATCAGACCAAGTGAACCAGCGGATAATTGGTACTGCTTTTATGGCAAGAAGGGGCAATAATCGCGCGACCGCAGTGCAAGCAGGATGCTAATCAGGTTGCAGGTCAAGTGTCATTTAAAATGATACAACATTAGAGATGGCAAGTTTCCCGGTGGTTCATTGTACGAGGTCATTACATGTTAGTCTTTGCCGCTATGGGAGTAGGGATGGTTTGATGTTCGCACTCTACCGTGGTACAGGAATCTGGAGCGCGTATTCCATGAGCAGTTGTACCGTCTGCGCAGCCTCCTGCGCCTTGCTCTACATTCTCCAACACTGAACCCAATTAAGGACATTTGGATCATCTTAAAAGTGTATGTGAAGCAAACTATTAGGCAGAGATATTCCAAGATGATCCAGCGAGATCCTCTTGGTCTACTCTGCAAGAGCGAGTAGATAATATGTTTCCTGGAGAGAATTGTCAGAGGCGCGAGCCTGCGTAACGTCCCGGCTAACGCAGCACATGATAGGTCGTGTGAGGAGGACTTACGCTCGCGCAATGCATTGTGCTGATTTGTAAATTCCTTTTATTTCGCTAACATAAATGTATGTATTTTGAACTGATGTTGTCACTGATATGCATCGCTTCATCGGTCTTTCTAGCATGTATTGTCCACTGCATTCTCTCTGAACCGGACCTATTTTTTGCTATCATTATCCCATTCTGAACAACATGGCATCTTCCTGCGCTTGGATTATATTCACAGCTCTCTTGATGCTAACCTTTTTTCAAACTGTATTTGGCGGCTTACTGTCGTTTCTCGTCATTCCACCCCACTATGGCAACAACAACAATAACAAGCGTTCTTTATGCCTAGGATCGACTCTTTCGTGTATGTACTTCCGAGCAGATAGCTGGAAACTCGGTTTCTTTACCGAAGACACCATTGTAAACATCACACCACACATCCGAGTTTTTCACACCGATGAGCTCTTTTCCATGATTCTCGTTTGGGCATACGCTCTACGTTCATGTGTCCAGTTCCATTGGGAACCTGCACCCACGGTTTCTTCGTTGTTCCTCTGATTTGGTCACTTGAAGTTTTTATTTATGCTTATAGTTCATGACTTCGCATCCGACTCCGTTTTCCCCGGTTTTAAATGTCTACATGCTGTGATTTATTTGGACGTATTTATTTCCTGCTTATATAAATTTGTTTCGTTTTTTGTCTTCTGATTCTGATCTGTCCGACAATCTGTCCCACAGCAACTGGACTCCGGAGGCTATTCCGCTGCACAACTGCTCTTGTTCCGCCGCAGAAAATCTCACGGACTCCGATGTGCTCTCCTCTATGTATGAACGACATCCGTTAATGGATGTCCCCTTACTAACTCATAACGGCTCTAGAATCTTTATCAGTGCTGCTGATGTCGAATATTCCTATTTCACATCCGTAAGTACCTTTTTATGTTAATGTCTAAGCAGGTGACAAGTGCTTTTTTCCATCCTTACCCAGTCCTAGCGGGACATTCACTCTGAACAACAATCACGATTGACCGATGCTTATTTTGGCTGCCACCGATTGTCTTGCTCACTCTGTGAGCAGTTTCGTGCTTACTCGGCCCTTGGCCCGACGTATCACAAGCATGTCTTGTAATCCGAAGGCACGGGTTCGAGGCTGCATAGGGATCCGGGCAACCCTCGCAGTATCCTTAGCCCATGCGCGACTGTTGGTGCTTGCGCGGCAGCGAGGCGTCGGTTTTGCTGCTAACTTTACTTGGACACCTCTAACTGTGATCAGTTGTTTACAGTTTCACCGATGACCTCAGCATTCTACTTACTAATTGCTTTATCGATTTGCCATGCAATCAGTCGGATCGGCTTTGTTTAAAGCATCTGTAGCTCCGTCGTGACACTTCACCCTCGGCATACGCAGGGTCTACAATGTCTGTGTTCACGCGGTACTGTTGTACAGGTGTGAGTCCCTGGCAATAAGTAAAATGGACATGCCAGATTTCGACATTCAACAACGATGTCTGCGGAGGATTGCTTGTGCGTGATGAGGAACACCGATGGCAAGAAACCCTTGAAGATATGGCGCGGAATCGATTGCAGTGGGAAAATTGCATGAATTCATGCATTCTACTGTAAAAGTAATAATGACAGACAAAACGATGTGTGAAGGTACCCAAAAAACATTGTACGTTTCCTACTTTATGTTTTTGTACATATAGCACGCCTACATTTACTGGTTTTCGATAGCTCTTTCGTCATATATATATATATATATATATATATATATATATATATATATATATATATATATATATAAGGAACTGTCAAAAACCATTGAATGAATATGCGTAAAAGATTCAAAGAACGCCTAGTAGGAAACGGTCAAAGAGAAACTGTTTCGTGTGTGCCTTCACACACCCTTTTGACTTTTTGTCAGTTTGGTGATTACGGTGTTGATCAATAGAATAAAAGCAAACATTCATACAAATCTTCCATTCTGCTGGAGAAGTGAGAAGGGGGACTTACCTGAAAACCTTAATGCCCTAAGCAAACATTCAGGGTCAACACGCCTACACAAATAACTGGCTATCGTGCAAAGATAAGGCGGCTTCGGCGAGACAGCTTCCTTGCGGCTTTCACTGCCACGCGTCATAATCAGCCATTACCCCGCAGATAACTCAGCACCAAACACACTTTAAACAGGCAATCCAATTAGGAGACGGCAGCAGACGCGCCACTGGTGTCTACTGCGAACCATGTCCTGTAAAGTCTCGAGCCAAGCACAAGGCGAGTCAAGTGGACACCAGCCCGGAAGGCGAGACGGACCAACAGCACCAAGTTTGGTCGTCAGTGACTTCATTTCCTGCTGCCAAGTCAACTTCCGTCCACCTCGAGCCTTGCGTTACCCTACACCTGGCAGACTAAACAAGGCCGTCTTAGGTAAGCGGTGATCAGGCATACGTAGCACGTGCCCGAGCCAACGCAACTTATTCAGTGCTATCTGTTGTTCTAAGGATCTAGCATGATTATCACTACCCAGTACTCGTCTACGCACATCATCGTTGCGGACACGCTGGTGCCATCCGACACCAGCAATGCTACGCAGACGACGGTGATCAAAGACTTGAAGGCGCCTCAGATCTTCAGACCGAAGCGGCCAAGTTTCGCTACCATACAGCAGAACGGCTCTCACTGTGGCCTTGTATAAACGGCCTTTCAGACGGAGGGAAACTCCCTTCTGTCGCCAAAGATGCCGCAGGTTCAAGAAGGTAGCTCTGGCTTTTGCCGAAATGGATACCGAGGTTGAAGGAGGACCACTGGTCGGACCCTTTGGACATGGACAACCAAGCATCGGCGCTAGCTGCGAAGGTTTTATTGCTGAAGGTCAAATTGGCGTGTGATTGAGGTGCATTAACAGTAAAGAACGAAGGAACAAAAGAGCGACATAATAGCACATAAGGAATCCACGGTTTTGTCTGCAGACGAGATTCTACGCGGTTGTTCAAGTCGAGGTAGAGAGTTGTCTTAGATGGCACCATCCCGAGACTTTGTCTGAATAGCCTACTCGGAAGGCAGCGGAGCGAGTTCAGGGAATCTCGTCCATTGTGAGTCCATGGCCGATTATTCGGCTCATGTGCTTTTGGTTTTGTCGCTTACCAAACAGGGATTAATCCTCCCTACAATTTCACTGCACTAAGGAAATATTGTTAGTGCTGATCTTGGCTCGAATTTTCCAATCTATCTAACGGTGTGTTCTAGCGGAAAATATATCTTGTCCTATGACGAAAATGCTGACATGGCCGCCATCTCATAGGGTGCTTCGTTTGTCGAATTTAATCTCAAGATATTAATAGGCCTTCCTACATTGCGAAACGAATGTATAATTTTACGAGACTTAATCACTGTCTGAATCTCACGGATCCCATTTGGAAGCCTTTTCCGTAATATGGAGTCGCGGTTATGGATTAATGTTTTCCGACTGCATCGTTCTTGATATGTTCACTACCACTGTACCAGCGTATCAGAGAAGTCGACCAGGCTAAGTTTTATTCTCTGCAGCCATAATGGATCAAGATATGGGTGACGCATGGATCTGCATGTAATGATGTGGTAGACTATCCTGGCAGATGCTTGGTAACGAACCGCTACAAGCGCCCCAAGACTATGTGATCACTTCTTCCGGAATCTCAGCGGATCATGGAGTTATATGCTAAATGGACGCTTTTGCGCATGGCATTAATCTACCCTTATAAAGCGAACGTTTTGAAGAGAAACCCTATGATCCTTCGAGTTTGAGCTACCTGTCCTGCGTGCTCACCGAAGTGTAAGGTGTTTGAGTAGTGTACCCCCTAAGTCGCGGATTGCATGCTGACCGTGGGACAGCATTCTGCAATTACTGGCAAGCCAACCCGGTCTAACTTCACATCTGCAAGATATCACGTCGTATTTATCGAGCCGGAATGACATCTTCCACCTAGCGCACCATAAATCACGATTTTAATTCATGCTGGATTACGTCGAGCATCTCATTGACACGCGTGTGCTTGAAAGTGTAATTAATCCTAATGTCATCAACGAATAGGAGCTGTTTTCAGGATACAATGACGTCAAAAATATCATTCACACATAATGAGAATAAGTACGGACATTGGACACTGCCTTTTATCACGCCACTCTTGATTGACTTAGTTGCGCTTGTTTTATTTTGAACCTGGGTTCTGTTAACGAGGTAGTACTCGAACCACGAAAGCTGTGGGTTGCTGATGCTATGTGCAGTTAATTTATACCTGAGGCGAATATGTGGAACGTGATCAAATACCTTTTACATGTCAAGGTAGTCAAGTATAGATGGTGAACCGCAGTCAGACGAAAGTCAATTTGATATGTTATGCTGCATCGCGAACTTAGGAGACCGTGTTGTGAGCTGTTACTAGAACTTCACGTCTTCGAGAAATCGACAGTTCCGGATGTGCAGAGGATATAAGGGTGGCTGGTTGGTCGGTAATTGCTTATCTCATGCACAGAGCCTGATTTGCTTTGAAGAGCATTCTTCCGTTGCGTTGGTACAGTACTAGCTTTCACGGACAGAGCAGAGACTCAAAATTTATGTTGGAGTAACGACGCCTCCAGGTTGGAGTTTGGTTATCAGGCCCATCATGCCATGTTAATCTGGAGGAGGAAATAAAATATTCTGTTTCACTGGAGTCAACTTCAACTGTTCTGAACTTGACATCCGTAAACAGAAGAGCGAGTTTCTTGGGAGGCTCAGTAGTAGGGTTAAAGTTTCAGCAAAATTAATTATTGAAAACGTTGCTGGTATGGGCCAGATGGCTTAGCAGATGGTTGTCAGGAGTAGAAACGGTCGAGTGGCTGTGGAGGTGTCTCTGCTTTTCACCAGCTATGTAACTTCATCGTTTTATTATGTCTTCTGATTGCGCACCTATTAACAGTTGCGCGCCTGTTTTGCTAAAAATTTTCTGGTTATTGTTTTGTTTCTGACATCCATTAAGCAAGTTCGTCTTGAGCCTAACATGAGGCTTATCTATTCTCATCGCTACTAGTAGTGCTTTATTATTATTATCTTTCATGGGATACAAGTGCTATGCAAAGTATTCTTCCAAGCCGCGGTGATATGTGAAATAGCTCGTCTAGCCCTGAAATTAGTGTTCAATTGTTTTCCTAGTTCATTTTTGGTCCATCAAGTTTCGCTCTCTCCCTTTGATACATTTTCGACAGTTTTCGCGGTGTTGGGTCGCATCGAACTGAGGCGCCTTAAGTGTGCTACGTTGGGTTCGTCAAATACGAAGTTATACTGGATTTAAATTTCTCACTTAAACCTGGGGCACTTCTGACTAGGTGGACCACTTCGGTCACATTCCAAACTTTGTACTGATAATATGATCTGTCGACCGTTTTCGATGCTATTGGTGTAGTCTTTTTAACTTAGATTCCGCTATTTGACATACCGATATCAAACACCGGGGTCCAAACCCTGCACCTATTCCAATTGCAGCTCATCAATACCTTTGAGAAAATGTTCTAGCTTCTATGTACCTTAGTGGTTCAATTTATTGGACTTGAAAATATTTCTCACGTCACTGCTTGTGATTTTTGTATAAGTATAGTTGTGGTTACAGTTCAGCCACGAGTTCACCATCTGCAGATGTTAACCGTTGCGCCCATTTTTACCGCCTGGTCTCCCTGATCAAAATTTGTACGCTTTGCCCCTCTAGTTGCATACCTGCCTGCTTGCCTAGACACTCAATCGCATCCTAATCCAGTTCATTAGCATAATCGCATTTTCCACCATTTTGGATGAGAAGCTTGTTATCCCTAAGCTTAGACTATTCCCACATCTGCTAACCTCAAACAAGAAAACGTCTATAAATCGGCCTGATTGACAACAGTGTCCCCCAACGATAGCCACATCCATGTTGAACCCTTTCCGTAATCATTTCACTTTATACGCCTATCCACTGTTCTAGTTTAATTTTCATAATTCAACCTTCCCACAGTTATGTTCTAGTGCTGTTAGTTCTTCTCTTTCGCTTATATGAGTCCCAGCTGATTCTTTTCATACCATTTCTCCCTTTTCTATCTTTATTCCTCAGATGGAGATCGATTGGAGGGCGGTCTCAGATGGTCGCTATTCTTGGGATTCACTGAAATTTCGTCAGTTGTGCCATGATTTAAACGGAACGTGGATTGGTTCCGGTTGTCGGCCATTTTTTGTGCCTGATGTTTTCTTCTTCTCTTGCATCCTGGTTATCTCCACCTTCTCGTTGGCTGTCGGCCTGAAGTCGTTGAGAACTTCAACCTTCTTCCCTGCTCGGGTGGGTGTCGGTCCTTACTCTCCATGAGTGACAACTTCGTTCTCATTATTAGGCTGCCATACGAAACAGACATGTACTCGGCTCGCACTCGCGGCCGTTGTTCACCCCGTCTTTCATTTTACTTCATCCTACTTATGTACACCACCTTGAGCTGTGTTGGGTCCCCGAATCACCGGTGGTTCGCGATCCCCTAGATGCACCGTATGGTATACGATAAACCGGGGAAGTGAGAAATATCCCAGAGAAACACCTCAATGGCTCATTGTGAACAAGCCTCATTTTCATTCGTGTCCGGAATGACTTAGGGGAAATATAAGTACTCTCACGTAAATCGAACACTTGTGTTCCTCTGAACCATGTCACAATTGAGGCTCATGTCATCTCAGTGACGCGCCTGACTTTCAGCCCTAACCGCTCTCCATAAAATCACCGAATACACGTTAGTTCGGGCGATTCGTATGTATAGAACTTCTAGCGATACACTGTTTTCTAACCATAATCGTGTTACTGTGTATTTTCTGCGTCATTTTTGACTCTTTACATCCTATCCTTGCATTTGTGATTACTGGGTGTATTAGAAAAACTATCCCGAAATCACTTAATGTTGGACACCCGGGCGTCGTAACAGACCACATATGTGATTGTGTTGGTTATTGTGCGCACTCTTCTGCTGTCAATTTATGTCTCGCCAACAACCGTATCATCTGTTTCTGCGTCTATTGGCGTTTTACATCGGCCTTTCATCTCATGTCAAAGCACTGTATTGGCCAGCCGACACGTCAAGCACACCATTTGCATACCGTCTCCCCTATTAAGCGCAGATAAACATTTTGGATTTCCACTGCTACGTTACTTCCCATGGTAGTAGGTGCATGTACCTTTCTTTTTCCTATGAGAAGCACTGTCCGTGTTGTCATGGATGCTGAACTCCGGTGAATTCTTTTTCAGCTAGGGAACAATTTGTACTTGGAAACAATTGCTTGCTCATTAGCACGTGGGTGCGCCGGTCGTCCTACTACTTTAGACACATCAGTTCAGCCAAATAGGGTTGCTCATTTGGGTTAAAAATGTGGGATCACGCTTCTCGCTTCTTCGGTTTCCGAATCGAGCACTCTCTGCGCCCACCATTTACATATATTTTTCTCTGCCTGACTCGTGAGCGATTACATTTGGCTATCCATGCGTTCTTTACGTGACAGAGTGACTGAGTGCGATGGTGTGTGTCTGACATCGTTTCGGTAGTTACTGAACTCACTGTGGGAAGCCGATCAGCCGAGCATTGACCGCATGCAAAGCGAGCTTCGAAATCGCATCGTTGTTACTTTCTCCTGTGCGGATGAAAATGATTCTTTTGACCGCTTTTATTCACACATTCACGACAAACGAGAACGATTACTTTGCACCGAACCATCCGAGTGGCGTGATTATTGCTCCAATACTTTTTTGACAACCAGCCACAGCCGAGCACTGCTAATCATTAATGTGCATTAGAATGGTTCTCTCTTTAAGAACCCAACTCACGGGGCTTCTGGCTGAAGTTGATGTGATCATTCGAAAACGCCTCTCACTCCGTAGCCACTAGTTGATCCATGGCTTGCCATCTGCTGTTTGAGATTCATTTTTATTTGGACTGAATCGTTTCCCTATACATTGATCACATTAGAGCTCCTCTTACTGTTTAGTCGGAGCCCATATACACCTTTCGGTCATGACGTGAACTGTACTAGCGTACTGAAGCTACACGCGATGATGCTCTCTATCACGTTCACGAGGTGACTACCACCATTTAATCTTATTTACTGTCCACTCACCCATGACATCTACTCATTTCTCGACGGCGCAGATTCCCGGTATACACCTTACGCAGCGAACACTTCGTATGGCCTGTATTGTTTATTACCGTTCCTCTGTGTTTTCTTGCTCTTCCCATTTTATTAGCACTCTTAACTTGCGTTAGCGAAGTGAATTATTTTACTCGGGTTGTGGACTTCCATTTGTTCTTACTACTGAGTTTCTGTGGACGCTCGGCTGATGTGCGAGTGCTCTCAAACCTTTTGGTCATTTGAGCTGCCGGTCAAAGGCACAATGTTACACTAGGACCAATCCACTGTATTAACTGTAGATGCAGTGCTACTGCACACCAGTGATATTAGCATGGTATTTACCTGTGTCCCGTTGATCGTGTTTACTTTGAACATCTGTTGAGCACTTACGAGGCCCTATGAGGCCATCTTCACTTAACTGTGGACCACTGGACCCGTTCCGTTGTGTTGAAGCTAGACTTGTTTGAATGATGCCTTGGACTGAACAGGTGTACATATGGCAGAATGACCTGATGTGGCGCCTTGTAGGATTGCTCCCTTTTCAAACTGGGTGCTTAGTTATCTTGTCTAGCTACTTGCCGTCACTAAGTCAGTTATGCTCCCATTTTCCATCCCCTGTTTCTTTCCAACCTTAATCTTAGTTATTTTCCTGTTTCGTCTTTCCACTCTCATCCGGCATTTATCGGTTCGGTTTGCAGCACTTTGGCCCTCTAATCATTGATTAACTTAAACATATTGTACCCGCCAGCCCATTGCTGCCGACACCGATGCCGTAATGCGCACCGTTGTACCCATTATTCCCTTTCATGCTCGAAATCAGCTTTACCAATCCTTATCGTAAGACTGAATTAGTGTTCCGTTCCCTATGGTGCCCATCTGCCATAATGATCATGAGGCGCTCATCAACGCTTACCTCTGCGGAACAATGTTCATAAAACTTCAGCTTGACCCATTCTGGCTCCGACGACTGAAAAACAGCCTAACTCTTCTCCACATTATAATATACTTGCAAGTCTTCTCAACCAGTGCGGCTATTGTCTTACAAAATAGCTGAATCTATCTATTATTCTTACAGAAGACCGAGTAACACATTCGCTTGCTTTTTTTCCTGGTGAGGTACACCCATCTGTGCAATAGGCTTCCCTTGTGATTTATAGTCATTGAGAGGCAGTATACATTTTACTCTCATCTGAAAAGTTTTCTTTCCATGCCAAATGCGGTTAAACCTCTCGGCCTTCCGCAATCTACAAGTGCAGTCATGGAATCCGGCCCGAAAAATCTGAAAGACAGCTTTCTGATAATGTCGATACATACTACACAAAGCATTGAATACAAGTTCATAAATGAAATGCCGATGGAACTCGCTGCACGAATGATCATCCCACGAAAGGGAAGGCATCTCGCTCGTCGTCGAAAAGTATACCCACTGGTTTATTTATTTATTCAAATTAATCGAGGTTATGGGGAATAAGTTTAATTGCATACCTCCTTTTTAACACTGATTCGTTTTTCGATATATCTACTGAAGTAAAATGCACCCCTCCTAAATTTCAGGTCCGTTCACTGATTGCTGACTTCTCCGTGGTGATCGCGATCAGTATAGCCACCTTGGTTGACTTTTTCCTGCATTTACACACTCCTAAGCTTCTAGTCCCGGCGGAGTTCGCACCTACGTTAGGTTACAGAGTAAGTTACTTTCACCGTATACCTTCTCCTGATTACGGTATGCGCCAGTTTTCGCATCCCTATCTTGATTTTGAACAAAATGCCCTTGATTCACCTTTTGTGTGTGTCGTTTTCTGACTTGAATTTTCGTCTATTTGTTTACATAGAATTGTTTTGTAATGCCATGTTGGCGTCTATACTTCGCCGCATCATTCGTAACTTCTTCTTCGGGAATTGCTAGCTGAACGAGCTTTACGTCGGGTATAATTCTCACTGGTAGGCGCTGATCCGGTTCGCTGTCTTTAAGGACTTGAATTCATAACGCGTCTACAAGCCATAGGCCAAGTACCCAAGCAATTCAATGGATTCTTCATGGTCGGTACTTGCTAACCATGTGACTAGTCAAATGATCGTTCCACAAAATGGAACGTATCCAGCTTGTCGGGAAGTACACCCATTTACTTATTTATAAATCTTGGTCTACTTCAGTACTAAACTAGTACTTCTGCTTAACCAAATATTGCTGTTTAAACCGTGTCTTACACTGGCTTATATATTTATATATTTATTTGTTTATTTATCGAACACGTTTTGCGCTCCATCTTCAATATTGCTTACTTTCAGATAGGTCAGTCCAAATCACCCTTGTCGGACGCACGTTTTTACTGCACTAACCCACCACCTCCAGTTATAGCAACCTTGAATCGCCCTTGCTTTGTCTCTCCTGTGGGATTCCACCGGGGTTCCTAAATCGGCCTTCTCATTTTCCCTCCTCGTACATAAGGCCGCACTATAGTGAACACGTAGAGTGGGAACTATCTCGGTCAGCTACGAAGTCATTGTCATCACACATTAGCTGAAGGTGAGAAACACACTTCGACTATTTTGTCGCAATACAAAAAGATAAGATATACGAAAAATCGAGATACTAAACATTCTAAAATACAGAACAGCAGCTGACCCACTGCCTAGTGGCATATTATGCTTCAATAGAGAGCCAATGGTTAAAGGGGGAAGATAAGCTGGATGGAGATGGACAAAGAAACTCACACCACAAACGACATTGTGCCTAACTTCATGTCCTGTCAACTAGTGTATCTAACCAGACCTGTTCATCGTCTTTCTGTCCCCAAGTTCGGAGTAAGAACCTTCATTCCTCTTAACCAACCCATCGCTTGGTTTCTCCTCTTCTTCCTCCATTCACATCCCCGACGCACAAACAACACACGTCACGGGAGTCGGTGTTCTGGCATGCGGAACACGCGGCCCAGCCATCGGAGCCTGGTGCGTGAAATGACGGTGCTAAGCGGTTTACTTCCCCTTCCTGTGCCAAAAAAACTCACACGGTGTTCCCACCAGATATGATCCAAACTGCGAGGGCACCGGTGGTCGAACGTAACTAGCCTCTTTATATCTGTTGCCTTGATGGATCAGCTTTTGCAACCGTACGGAAGGGTTGAATGGGCGGGTGCGTTGTAAGCCCTGTTCTTCAGGGAGAGAGTGTTGTCGCGCCGACGCAACAGGTAGCGGAGATTGACAAAAGGGCCTCCTGATTTTGTTATGCTGTTTGTTATCACATCTTCCACTCCACTGGAACTGATGTAACTGCCTAGATACTTTTATTTCTCGACGACTTCTTGATAATTGCCACCAAACGTCAGCACGAAGGTTGGTCCTTTCCAATCTTGGAAAAGGACTTTGCATTTCGAGGGCGCAAAGTATGGCGCGGAACGACTGACAGCCAATGCTTATCTGCACAGTGCTACTTGGCACGTTTAGATACTGTACTGGATAGGGGCAGTGTCGTCGGCCTACTCTAGGTCAAGGAGTAGATCACCTTGGAGCAGCTCCACGTCTTGCAGATTGTGTTCAGTGGACGCAGTCTCCATGACTGTCAATAGCGAAGTTGAAGTGGATGGGTGACAACGGGAGTCTTTGTCTCACACCGCCAGAGATAGGATAGGGCGGCGATAGCTTGCTGTAAGCCCTCACTTTGCCCGAACTACGCGCGTAAATCGCTCTGATAATGTTTACGTATTATTCGGGCACCTTTCCTGAGTGGACAGTCTTTAAGTGCACATCCATCAACCGAATCGAAAACATCTTTACTGTCGAGGAACACGACTACGGTGGGTCGCCAATATATGTGACGGTGCTTCAACAACTGATGTAGCGTAAAAATGTAATCAATACAACTGCGATTTCGACAAGCTAGGCTTGCTTGTTACGAATCTGGCTGTCACGGGTGTTAGCAAATCTATGAACAACGACAGAAGCGGGTATCTTAGAGGCAAATGTGAACAGACTGATCTATATATGATTGCCGCATTCGGGACGGGAAATCCTCTTGGAACATTGGGACTACCGTGGAGCGGCTGTAGTCTGGTGTGACGGTTTTCTGCTCCCACAGCTTTCCAGGTAAGTGGGGCAGATCATCTACAGGAGCAGGTCGCCCGAATTTGAAGCTTGCTGGAGAAAGTCTATCTGCTCCTGTTTGCCCTATTCACTTGCAACAGTCTGTTCTCACGTTTGACTTCTGCACATGAAAGCGGATCCAGGGGTGAGGTCTAGGGAGAAGGGCCGTCATTGGCCGATGGAGAAGCTGATAACTAATCAAGACCTTAATCTGCTTTCGCTAAAATAATGTTGGGGTTCTAAGTGGCTAAGTTCCGCTCAACAGAACCGGCCACTGCCATATAATCATTTTACGCTCTGAAAAGCATTAGACAACCAATTCGTTCTTTCAGGACTATTCACAGTGTACTTCCTTGGGTCCTCGGAAGGGATAGTCTAGGTAGGGAATTACTCTCGGACCCATGTACTGTTAATGGGGGTCCCATTTTTACACCAGTGCTCTTCCTTTATTTTGCGCATGTTGGATGAGAGCACCCTGAAACACGCCACTGTGGTTCTCAAAAGTGGTATAGACGTTTAGAACTGGCTCTTCTAACTTAAAATGCGGCAGAAGAGTTGCGAAAAGATCTCTTCGATGATTCTCTTCAGACATTTACAGTTATGAAAAAACTTGATACAACACGATAAGCTATCTAAAGCTGCAGTAGTGAATGGTTAGGTCACTGTTTAGGGAAAGGTCAATGAACCGATCGATAGATCCGTCAGTGCAATCAGGTGGTAAACGACACGCGCTTTTACCCTCCAAACACTGAGAGGCAAACATAACAGAAATGGTTGATTTGGCGTCAAAGCTGACAGTTAGTCCTAGGCAAAGGTAGGTGCGGACGGCGTCAGTCGTTCCGACCAAGTTAGCGTGAGCGCTTGTACAAGCATCCTCTGCTTGCATACCTCCGGTTGCAGCGGCGTGATAGCCATTGCTTCCGAAGTAGCCAACAGGCGCTTCCTGAGTCCTTTTGGGTTGCGTTTCGGCACAGCGTAAAGGATATTGAAAGCATCATCGGTCTGAACATAATGTCCCGCACTAATCAGGTGTTCAAGGACCGAGCTATGGGCATTCTTAACTGTACCGTGCCGTAAAGAGGCGGGACAGTGTTCCGCTATCCTCTTAGACAGACGCCTGATAGTGTGTCCGAGGAACCTGGCACCACGGGTGCAGGAGAACTGACATACAACGAAAGATTCGAACGAGCTGGGATTCTGTCCTTGAGGCTTTTATTGACAAGCGGAACAGTCTGCAAGAAGGTGGACTCTTACAGCCGGATATGTTTGGTTCAAAGTGACGGACAAACTTTTGTTCAGTACCTCGTAGGCGATATCTCCTTTGAACGGAACCGAAATAAAGGCGTCCTTTTTCTTTACCGTCGGTATTTCTTTAGATGGATGACCATCTGTCTCACGACATTTATCCACAAACATACTGCTGTTTCTTATCAACCTAAAGAAATACCGACGTTAAAGCAAAAGGACGCCTTTATTTCGGTTCCGTTCAAAGGAGATATCGCCTACGAGGTACTGAACAAAAGTTTGTCCGTCACTTTGAACCAAACATATCCGGCTGTAAGAGTCCACCTTCTTGCAGACTGTTCCGTTTGTCAATAAAAGCCTCAAGGACAGAATCCCAGCTCGTTCGAATCTTTCGTTGTATGTCAGTTCTCCTGCACCCGTGGTGCCAGGTTCCTCGGACACACTATCAGGCGTCTGTCTAAGAGGATAGCGGAACACTGTCCCGCCTCTTTACGGCACGGTACAGTTAAGAATGCCCATAGCTCGGTCCTTGAACACCTGATTAGTGCGGGACATTATGTTCAGACCGATGATGCTTTCAATATCCTTTACGCTGTGCCGAAACGCAACCCAAAAGGACTCAGGAAGCGCCTGTTGGCTACTTCGGAAGCAATGGCTATCACGCTGTTGCAACCGGAGGTATGCAAGCAGAGGATACTTGTACAAGCGCTCACGCTAACTTGGTCGGAACGACTGACGCCGTCCGCACCTACCTTTGCCTAGGACTAACTGTCAGCTTTGACGCCAAATCAACCATTTCTGTTATGTTTGCCTCTCAGTGTTTGGAGGGTAAAAGCGCGTGTCGTTTACCACCTGATTGCACTGACGGATCTATCGATCGGTTCATTGACCTTTCCCTAAACAGTGACCTAACCATTCACTACTGCAGCTTTAGATAGCTTATCGTGTTGTATCAAGTTTTCTCATAACTGTAAATGTCTGCAGAAAATTATCGAAGAGAGATCTCTTCGTAACTCCTCTTTTTTAAGAAAACGCAGTGTTTCTACAATACATTACTTGCGCGAAAACCGCTGTATTCATGATTTGAAACCGATGTAGTGGTGTCACATGTTCTGGCTACTGTCCGTGTGTCTTCCTCACAGTCCTCGGTATCTCTGGCTTTGGTACCTTTTTCATTCTGCAGCAAACTGTACCGTAATCACTGTCTGTTCATCCCTGCTCTATGACAGCTGTCTCCTTTCGGTCCTAATGACATGCCACTAATGCATTATAGACGCCTGCACGCTAACGGTGAGGTGTTGCTTAGTGACTAATTGGGCTGGTCGTATGCAAACGTCCGCACATGCATTCAGTTGGTCGAGAGTTAATAACTTGGCTACCTCCCTGCTCCCCGTTGCTATAGGAATTTGGCTGTAGTCTGTTTTCTCATGACGTTGTTTGATTTGGATCCAAGGTCACATCATTCTATACTTTTGGCACTTTCCTTACGTTTCCTCTGCACATGACTAAACTGTTCCGGGATCAATACAGCCACTTGAAAATGCGATGTTTTTGCATGGCAGATGTGTGGGCTTCATCGTTCTATTTTAGCTGCTCACCCCAGCAATTGATGGGTAATGTTTGGCTTCCATTTCACCCTCCGCTCCGCTTAACTAGCGCTCACTCCTAACCAGACTGCATCTAATGTACCTACCTCTATGTGTTATATTCGTATTAATTTTGCTGTGTTTCAAGTTACCTTAGTGATTACCACCTGATAAGACCTCATACTGATCGTTTATACCTCTCCTGCACAGAGACGTGGCTGGATTGTGCCGCTGTTTGGCCGTAACCCGTGGTGGACTTCGTTCGTCGCGCTCGGGCCAGCCTTGTTGGCTACCATACTCATCTTCATGGATCAGCAAATCACCGCTGTAATTGTCAATCGTCGAGAAAACAAGCTAAAGGCAAGCGGATGTCTCTTCCACTTATGATCTCCTTGTCCTACTAGTTGATGAAATTCCATTAGATTGGCGTGTTCGCCACACTTCGAATCCGTGGGCCGTCCCATCTAGACATGACTGCGCCTGATGTTTGTTGTGCAATAAAGCAACGCATTAACATTGCTGATATGCGTGAAAGTTGCTAATTCCACCTGTGCAACCTGGAATAAACACGTCAGAATGAGTTACGGACCTTTCGGCATGTTATCTACTGAAGCCTCCTTTCTCTACATATATTGAAATCATTTATGGTCGGTGGCTGAATCATGAACTTCCTGGTCGATGCTGATGGTTCACTTCGCTACTGTTTCCAACCACAACATTACACAAATTTATGCTACGAGATAGTTGCGCGACGAGCAGAGCAGTCGCCAACTAAGTAAGTTGTCGTGTGGTTTAGGTATAAAGAGTAACCCAAGGTGGGCGCTTTCATGACCACTTTCCAACCTGAACCCCGCTCTTCTTCTAGACGGGCAGAATGCAACTACCCCCGCTATTGACTGTTGATGTACATACGTACTAACTACGGGTTTCTCGTTTTGCATACTCTTATAGGTGCTCGAATTGTAGTTTGAATTAACCTCCAGGCATCCCACTCCTGTCGGCTTCCTCGTTGAGAAAGATTGATCTGCTTGACCCATTTGTCGGGTCTGTTGAAGCCACATTCCCGACGCCAATATTCGGATTGGTTGAGTACTTGCCAACAACGGAACGTTCCTCCTGTACATCTACAGTATGGCAGTCACGGCTTGATTTTCCTTTATGTCGCACTTGTCGTGTCCCACACAGGTTGACCTCCACCGGCACGCACACCTCCTACACCTTTTGCTTTCAATCGGTCACTGTACCTTATGTACACTACTGAAATTTACTCACATACTACCAATCGTTGCTGAGTTACTGCTCTCTTCGACCTACTTAGATGTCGGATTCGGTCAGGACATAAATGCTGTTACCATAGACTGGCTTGATGGACCTCTGTGTGCTCTGAAACATGATTCCTACCCAGGGTGGATTGCAGAGATAGCACCGAATCGGTTCCCAGGTCCACCGCGTATTTGCTTGAGGTGGTCAATTGGCTCACATCTCTAAGCATTTTTTAAATTGTCAGAGAATGTGCTTTGTTTGTCAGTAATGCGCATTTGAAATCCTGAAGCCTCAATCCTACGGAGGAATCTCGAACTGCCAGCATGTCGACCAGACGAACGTGTGCGAAGGACCGCTGTTTCGATGGAACATTTTTGCATCTCGCTACCGACCTCCCAATTTGGCATCCCGAAGCCGATTGCAAGGTTGATTCGAGTTAGCTTGTTCCGTCTTGTTAGTATATCCTCGAATCAGCAAGTCATTGGGGAGAAATCCTGTGTTTTATGACACGATAAGCAGTTTGATTTCAGATGCAGACTACGAGATATCAGCCCGTCAGTCATAAGTGGTACAGTACTGCGATTAGACCGGTGTTAGGGAATGATTTGGTGACCTGGCCACTTCACATTGAAGACACTAAGAGAATGGTTGTCTATGATCATGGCTGGTTACGCAGTCTTACTCACTTCTTATAATAACGCTAAGTGAAAGCAATAGTCCATATCACTAGTTCGTGCTTTACTGGAGCACTTTATAAAGACTAATCGTATACGTTGGCAAGGCCATATCCCCCGGTTCGCCCATTAGCCGCCTTCTTCGGTACGCTTTTCATGCTGTGGCTGTACCAAGTTGGGTTAAATCACGAGGTGACAAGTCGATGACGTGGGCTAAAGCCGTGAAGAAATCAACCAAAGACCGTTGTTCGTATTGGTGTGGGCGGTCCTTGTGGGTGGGAACCTATGCATGCATCGAATCAGTGATTGGCGACCCCCTCGAACGTGATGTAGCCTTGTGGCACTCATGCATTCGGTTTCTTGCAGTTGTCTGTTAATAAGTATTCTACCCACGTTACTTTTTCTCATCTTTCCTAATACCGTTTTCTTTCCATTATACCCTTGACTTGTCACATTTTCTCGGTTGACTATCGTGAATTGCTGTTGTCCTGACTATGCGATTCGTGTCGATTCCATCCACTGCGATTCCGTAGCTGGATTATATTTGTTTAACTGAAATGCTTCTTCTACTCCTCTGGTTGTCTGACTCACTCCACCATAGTCTTTCATCCCCTGGATATTTTTTCTTTCGCTTCACTGTCCTCGTCTTTTGTTTTGGCAGCGTGATTACATGTGGCCTAACTCATCACACTGCAGTTTTTCCTCCAGGCCCTATTAAGTGACATAAAAACTGGTTTTTATGTGTTCGCCGCTGGCTTTTCCTCATGTTGGTGACACTATCGAACGGACATCACCCAGTAGGTTTAGCCAGAATCATCGTGTTGATAATTGAGAACATAGTATGCTCCTCAAGTCCACTTTACGGACCAATGGTAGTGTTAAGAGGTGGTCGGTGTTGTCCGAAACCAAGAACATGCGTAATGGGCACACTATGAATTTAAGTTACCTCAGGGTTTTCTGATTATTCACATGCAATAATCTGTATCTGAGACTTGCTTACCGCTAACTAATCGGCACTATGGCTAACGCCCCTGATCTTGAGCTAGATCATTATTCATCATTCCACTTGCTAACCATAGGTGCAAAACACTATCCATTGGTTCAGAGATGTTTGGGGCCTAACGCTTGGTTTAATCGTTGAACTAGGTTTCACTTCTGGCACAAAAGTCTGTGCCGCAATACAATCCAGTTGAATGTTCGAAAAAAGGAAAACGAGGTATCAAAACAAAGCTAATAGCTAGCTAGTGTTTGTGGTTTTAAGTTGGTGTGTAGCCCAGAAAGTAAATGCCTGTGGAGTACATCGAAAATAAGCTCGTTGGAGAACGAGCTTAAGCGGAAGATAGGGGGCCAAGAAACTAACAACACACCACTGACCATGCCAATAAATGTGTCTCACTAAACGGACTCATCGTCTTTCGGAGCACAACCCGCATTTCGGAAGACGCCAACTGTTGGGGGAACTGGCATTTTCCTAAGAAATACAATGGAATCAAAAAGTGCAAATTTGAACTTAATGGCATGCGCAAATCCGTACCCGCCTCAGACCAGAACCGTGATTGGCCAATCTCACAAGGTCGTTAGTAGACCCATTACCACCCACGTGTTTCATTGACGTCTGAGTTATCATCATGATAAATCTCGCTCGGAGGTCTTTTCCTGTGTCTTGTTAGGTTTGGGGCTATCGATTAGAAGCCTAATCTGTGTTCCGTCCGTGAGCTGAGCTGTTCCTTTTTTGGGTTTACCGCACCTACGTGTGTTCGTACTGAATTGCACTTGCTGCCGTTGGGTCGTAACACCAACCAAAACCAAGTTAAAAACGAGCGCCTTCATTTCGGTTGACCAAGTCATTGGTTGGCCTCCTCTTCTCTTACTCCATTCACAACCCGATCGTGCAAGCGAGGCATGTCCGGAGGTCATTGTGTCGGCATGCTTAACACCTGGTGTGTGTGAAATAATGGCATTGATCGATCCACCCGTGCTTTTTATGCTATAAACAAGACGGCGATCACGGTCATTGCTCACGCGGTGTCCCCACCAAATTACGAGGGCACCGGTCGTCGAACGCCACTGGCCTCTTATGGTTTGTCGATCGGATGTTTGATATGGTTGAGTAGACGACTGCATTGCAAACCTTACTCGGGGAGAGGGAAATATCGCGTCATTGCCATGTGTGACGAGAACTGAAAAAGACCTTAATCTTTTGATATTCAGTTTTGGACCTCTTCGATTCCGTAGATGCTGATGTAGCTGCCCAGGTAGTTAAATTTCTGAATGACTTCTGGCGCCGGGGGCGGATCCTGTCAATCCAAATGAATGTACCCCAGTAAAAACTGGCCCGTTGGCTAATGAATTTGCTTTCTCCGATGAAACTACGGGTCTGACCGCATAGTCTTACTCATTGGTGCCCTGGATGAAATCAACCTGTCAGATAAAGTCATGTGTTCTTTGGATGTATAATCCTTATTCACGAACTTCCCGCTACGTCAGACTGTTGATTACGTATGTGAATTAGCTGAACTCTAATTCTTCGTTACTAATTCCAACTGAGTTGTTATGAGAATCCCTACTATTGTGCACGGAAAGTCTTGACTTCTATTTCCGGAACACATCGAACCGTCAAACTGATTACGTAGCAATTAGTAGCTCAGTAGATCGTCTTCTCGCTGGCTTCTTCGTGCTTATGCTGCAGTTCCTTTCGTCTGAGTGTAAGTTGGTCCACATTAGTCACCGGCCGAAAATAAAACACTAGTTTGGAAACCATGACCAGTAAGCAATCATCCAGGAGCGCGACCTTGGTGTATTAATCTAAGGTGGTCTGGGTTGCACAGAACAACATGCTACGGAGGGCATTCGGGCACTTTGATTCGTCGGTCTGTTCGCAGTTACTTAACACATAAGTGCGGCCTCAAGTGGAATGCGCAATCCAGACCTGCCAGCCATGGCACAATCAAGATCTCGCGGCGCTCGAGACTCCACAACGAAGTGTCACCAAGCATGCCAAATGACTGTTTCACCTTCCATATCAACATAGGCAGAGGACCCTAAGATTGCACACCGGTCAGTATGGGCGCCTACGCGGCGATCTAATAATGACCTACCAGTTTTTGAGGAACCTCAACCACATCTGCCCCACCTACTGCAACTCAGTCACAACGTTAATTTGAGGGGCCACCAGTACAAGTTGGCCAGTCAATACAGTCGGCTAGAATGTATGCGAAACTTTTACTCTCTTCGTGTCTACCAGCCGTGGAACGCCATTCCAAATTACGTTGTTTCGACTTCGCTGTACTTCTGTTAGGAAAACGGCTTGACATTGTCCTAATCCACCTACATTATGAGGCGATATATTATGACGAACTTTGCACAATCAGCGTTAACCTACACATCCGTGGTTGGCTCTTTTTACGCATGCATCTATGTGAACACCGTTATGAGTCCACCAAGACGATTTTCATTTTATCCCTTTTGTTTTCTATTCACAATATTGTGGTTTTCATTTCGGCTATCCTGTGGAGCTTGCTCAACATCTGTTTTTTTTACCCGTAATATACAATTTCTCCATTGTTCCAGTGAAAGAAGCATTTCTACGGAAATAGCCCAGCTACCCTACTACAATCGATATGTCGATGTTATCTTGGCTTTTTGTTCGTCAGCGCAGCTCACAGTTGGTAGATCACCTCAACGGTGCGCTTACTGACTTGCAGATTACATGCAAGGGGAACAGTACAGTTGTCTGCCATATCTGGACATCCTCATAAGTCGCAGGGATTTTGGATTAATTAAGTGGCCCATTTACCAAAATCAATTTGTTCCGGTCAGTACCTGCACCTAACCAGCTTCACACTTGTACGTTACAAACGGACACTTGTGAAAGCGAGGTCGTCGTATCATTCGAATTTGTTCGGCCAACTGTCTGAACGGAAAGCAACACTTATGTCGAACGGCTTTCTTCGAAGACTTATCGAGAAACACAGCCAACTGCGAGGGTCGAAGTACTTGGTGCACACGGCAGCCAAGAAGAAAGTGTATATCGAGTTGCCTTTCAAAAGTGATTTGGCCACGCTAAGGACAACTGTGCGTATAATCTCAACTACGCAACGAAATTACTAGGTTGCACAAGCAATTTACCCATACCTCCAACGAAATAAGCTTAGCCTATCGGGCCAACTCACACTGTGTATCTCAATATGTGTGACTTCGGAAACAGTAACATAGGCAAAACTGATAGGATTCTGACTTCTCGAATAAAGAAGCGTGTCAAGATAGGTTCAGCGTTAACTTGCCTAGATAGTCTAACCGCCTCGAATTCCGTACTTGCATGGACCGCTGGCTTTTTCGCTAGGCAGACACTTGATCTCTGGTCACCGGATAGAGCTAGGCTCAATGTTCAAATTTGTGTGGCGTCACGCCAATCCCCGCTTCCTTCGTTTTGCTGAGGCTGCCGCTATAAGCCGGGATAAATCCAGAGCTGCGTGTCAGCCTAAAGCTGCCCCTGACGTAGGGATGAATTTCATTCATCCTTCGTTCTGCTTCTCATGCTTGGCTGGTTGCACCGATCGTTAGCTATATCTATGCATATCAGTTATTGTTCATAGTACTGAGGAGACAGTACAAAATGCATGGATGTACCAGCTTTCTTCTTATTCCCGTGCTTTTCATATGGTTGAAGGGAACTAACTGCTTTAAAAAAATCCTGGGGAAAGCTTTTTATTTAGAGGGCACAAAGCACACTTTGAAATGATTGAATCATTGTTAGTCTGTCTGGTGTGTGTCTGGTAGATTGACAAACTACCACAGCTCGTGGTGACATCATCGCTCTAGTCCTAGTAAAGGAGTCGTTCAACTAGAAACAGCTCCACACTTTCTGAGTCGAGTTCGGCAAGCACAGTTTCTATAACTTCCTCAATAGTGATTTTGGCAAGGAGAGTTGATAACTGGCATCTGTCTCATACAATTAACAATAATTAATGGCCGCAGCATTTTGCCATTAGCTCCAACTCTACCCGAAATACGCACTGATTTTATGCCAAAACTTCGAATTAAACCAGCTTTTTTGTGAGAACCATACTGTCCGGCTACGATGTAGTTTGCGAACAGTTACTGCTAAATCGCCCACTTCTGCAGCGAGTTCGGATCTATATTTCCACTTGCAATGCATCGCACGGCTCGGTTTCGTAAGCTTTTATTCCATATTTTAATGCGTTTTTGTAGTATATGCTTCATATCATCGAACGCTGCTGCCGCCGCCTTATCTCTAAAGCTTACTTGGGATCAACATGCCATTTTATGATGTGTTCTATTCCAACTATTCTTACTCTCTTTATAAACGAACACACTGCTTTACCTCATCTTAGCCACCCGGCGCGATGCTACAATGTGCATTTAAACGGTTGCCGGCTAAATGCACCACGTCTCCTTGCGTCCAGTTTTCTTGCATTGTTGTGAGATCAGTCACTACGAACATTGGGCTAAGTGTATCAATCCCGTATTTGCTTCCTACTTCACCTACTTCGGAAGCACTGCACGGGTGTGATTTCTTCGCTTCCTAAAGTTATCGCGTTGGTTCGTTATTTTTCGTTACTCTGATCCACCCCATTTTATTCCTTACTCTAAATCTTTTGTTTCACATTCAACTCAATTGCCCATGTCGCCCAAGCTTAACTTATCAACTGCGCTGTTGTTTTATTTTTTTATGTTAATCAGATTGCTATTCCACTACGTGTGCTTCATTGAAACAAAATTCACCATGCAGGTTTATACACCGGAGGTATCCCATTGACCTTTGTCACTTACAACTCTTGCACCTATGGGGTGGATGTTCTTGTAGCTTGAAGCGGTCCCCAACAACGTACTGTTCTGTCATTTATAGGTCAATTGGTCTATCCATCTGGAAACACTTGCGAGAGGATCACTTTGCCTCTTCCCTTCGATCCGACAATCATCACAACTGGGCATATGTACCGAACCCTCGATTTAATGCCTGTAATTCCACTTGCTGTACTTGCTACATGCCCTCTGGGTCTATCTTCCAACGTGATCTGTGATTTTTGTCCACTGCCAGCTGTTATGCCTCATCAACTTCACTTCACCTTTCTCCTCTCTCTCTCTCTCTCTCGTTATCAGAAAGGAGCTGGTTATCACCTGGATTTGCTGTTAGTGTGCATTACAATAGCCATCAATTCCATCCTCGGTATCCCCTGGTTCGTCGCGGCCACTGTGTTGTCCATCAATCACGTGCTCTCGTTGAAGAAAGAATCGGAGGCCAGTGCACCGGGTGAACGGCCGGTTTACTTAGGTTGTCGGTACGTGGTGCACTTTTCGTTTCACTCACCAGAGAGTGACTTTGTACCAGAGACATGTCAACCACTATGGGAAAGTTCAATGCCAATGTTGTGCTTCCATCACACTGCACTTTGTATCTCATCCACTTTGATTTCGACGTTCACCTGTCCTATACACACTTCCGGTGGTTCGTATCTATGAAGTTGTTGTCTTACCTTCCCCTTCTATTCGGCGGTATTGATTTCTTCCACCACAAGCTGTTCATTGCTGTTTACCAGCACTGCATGCAAGTCGACCTGTAGAGGGGTAGCTAATGAAGCACTGTTTCCATTTCGGACCACGGACTGCTCTTGCTCTGCTTAACTGCACCTGAGATCTTCCTTGCACCACGACCCGTTCATTTTTAGGCTCGTCCTAGGCGTATGACGGATAGCACCGAACAACCTGTATCTGCCTGGCTACCAGTTATATATATATATATATATATATATATATATATATATATATTTGTAAACGCCAGTTGTCGTTTATCAACTGACCCTCTGTCGTTACACGCGATATCCCGACTCACATGCATCTTCCGACACCGTCTTGACCACATATTTTTCATATCTCTGAACTGCTTTCTTTGCTCTTTGGTTTGCTAGGTAAGTGTCCAAATGTTACACGCGGCGAAACGAGTTGAAATTGACCACAGAGCCAAGTTACGTCGAAACTTGTTGGTTTTCCGCAAGGGACCATGCGACAAAACGATCACAAGCACTGTGTAGTTTGACATAGCAAATGGGTGAATGGCGTCGTTACATTCTCCCAATACTCCGAATGATCTTTGTTTCAGTCCGGATTTTTTCTTCGCCATCACTTGTTCAACTACCATGGCAACCTATGTTCTACTTTCTCGACACACGTTACTACGGTGCTCGTATTTTAATTAGACAGTTGAATTACATTTATGTCCCAGTGCTATCTATCTTCGTTGTGTTTTTTTTACCCTGAGTGACGTCTCGCCAATCATGCATTTTTTGAAATCTCGGAATCTATCCTCCAAATCACACATTCTACGCAATTCCATTCTCACAACAGGGAACAGCGCGTAACCGGATTTCTCATTTTTCTCTTTATTGGACTCTCCGTGTTTATGACTGGCCTACTGAGCGTGAGTCCATTTTGTTGCTTCCATGTTTCAGTTATTGTTATTAATGGTGTATTGAACATACATAAATAAGATTACACTTTTGCCAAATTTTGGTCGAGCTTGTATGTTCTACTGCCTGTTATTCGCTTGTAACGAGCACCGAACTGACTGTCATGTAGAGAGGGGACCTCGCCGTGGCGCGGTGGCTTGTGGGCTTCCAGTTCTTGCGGCAGTCTTCGAATTCTGGTTACCTTGTCATGGCTTCTCAATGTAGTAATCGTTTATCTAATCATGGGAGCATCATTTTTTCCGTTAAGGATAAACTTCACAACGTTGCAGTGTGTCTATTGTTAGTGTGTGAGCCAATGGCTTAACATATACTCAGTGAAAACAAGCAAACTGCTCACTGTTACGCTAGACAGGGCTTGCATAGCGTTACTCATATGTGGTTGGGTCCGCAGTTGGGAAATACTCTACTCCTTCAGTCGGTGCTCGGCAACAAACTCTGCTGCGCGGCACTGAGCAGTCTGTCACAGATTTGTTTTACACTGTCTCTGCTGCGTTGTTCTCATTGTTACCGTTGCTGCTCCCATCACTGGATGCGACGATAGCGAATTATGGAGAACGAGGCCGCTTCGCTCCTGGACTAGATGGCAGCAATGCGTCTGCTCATTGACCTCATCGCTTCAGTGTGTTGGTGGCTAGCAGTTACGCGAACGAAACTAAAGCGCGGCCAATGGGCTGGAAATCAAGTCAAAGCATCCAGCGCTAATTGACTACGCTTACATGGTTCGGATGAACAGTGAGAAATTGGTTTGCAGTGTTGTGAGTCGAGCATCATTTTATTCTTGCCCAGAGGCTGGCCCATAGCCTTAAGGATCACAGGCCTGACTTGTAATCCGAAGGCGCGGATTCTAGCCTGGGTAGTGACCGGACGTTCTTTGCAGTATCCTTAACCCACGTGCGACTGATATTGGTTGCAAGGTAGCGAAGCGTCAGCACTACCTACCGGCGTACCACTGATGCTTTCTGATGTCTATGCAATGACAAGCGAGTTACTCGCGCGCGACACTTACTCTGAGCGGACGGTGGCTGGTGCGATGCCAACTTACCGACCTAGCGAGCGAAATCAGCGGATGGAGAACCAATCAGGGTCTCTAACGCAACCTGACCACATTCTCACGGACAGGATGAACAACCCAGAAATGGTTTGGTGTATCATGAACAATGCACAGTTTTCTTCAAGTCAATGTACTACTGATCCGAACGGCTGCGGACAAACAGTGACCTCGAGCCAATAATCTCCGGTAGCAAGAATTAAGCACTGGATGTGCGCTCCAGTAAACTACTGATTCAAATGTATGTATGCTATAGAATAACTCTTTGCTCTTTGATAAGATATTTTTGATCGCTGTCCGCTCTTTGTTCTTATTCTCGGAGGGCTAGCTCGGCACTAAACATTGTGCTCAGGGGGATGTCAAACCGACCACTCGACCGGCGAGCTCAACTCAAGCCCAACGACGGACATCACAGAGCGGCTTATAGACTTTTCTGCTCTATAGTGGCCTATCCAGAGTTTATTATACGGGTTCTTTTTCCATTGTTGAGAATGATTGTCGCCTTGCTTGTGGATGAAGAATTGACTTGTTCGTTGAGCTATACAGTTTGCAAACATTCCATCATTAAGTTGCATAGGCTTATCCGCGCAGCTCCACTATGACCGACGGGAGTTAAATTGTTGATGTGCCCTAGCTCCAAAGAACGTTTTCAGGGAAGTAAAGATGTTCTGTGTGTTCTCGGCAATCGCATATTTATTACTATTACGAGACTTGCTGGCGATGGAGCTGAGACTATCAACTTCGTGTTTACCTGTCTTTCTGTTTTACTATTCTCACTAGACGCGATTCCGAAATAGGCACTTTACCACAAAAATTCTAGCCCAACCGAAGGAAAAATCAGCACATCAATGACCTTGACAAACCCTCCTGTTAGCCGCCATCAACAAAACATTGTACAAATGCAGTGAACCTTGTTTGTATTTATACGTTTCTTGCTGACCTTCGACTTCTGGAATAGGAATCTCAACCGCCAAGGTTACTTGTTCCCCATAGTTTTGGCGGATCTTCAGGAGGTTACTAGTCACATGCGGACACTGGAATATTCCAGAACTTTCGAAATCGATGCGATAATAGATAGCAATCGATTAATCGCTGAAATAATAAATTTTCCAGGGAATTCTTATCTTCTCCCGGACACTTTCCCATTACCGTCATGTTAATGGGATTTTTTGTTAACTCTCAGTCTGAGTCATAGGGCCGTTATCTACACAATCATAGTTATCTAGTGCTTCCTCCTCCGGAATGCGCCAGTCCCTATACCATTCTGCTTCGACTAATAGCTCTAGCACCCTGTTGACTTCAATGTGCGCGTGTTTTGTTGCACATTGTTGACGCGAGCTACTTGAGTATCACTCCATTCTGGTACTACCCATTCCCATCTGTAAACATACGATCACATCGGTAAGCTTGTGCACACGTGTAAAATAGATTGTGCACGTTTGTGGGTCAATTGTGCGTCCCGGAATCCGGATGCATTTATCAACGTTCACGCAATCCAACCTACTCCTCGCCTCTCTCACTCACTCTGGTGCCACCGACTTTTTATCCACCTAAAATGACCATCATTGTGCCTAACTGCACGTGACCCTGTTCCTCATCCTTCTACTCCATCTAGCACATCCCAATGGCAGTCTTGTACGGTATCTTCCTCTTTATGGGCATCTCTTCGTTGCACGGAGTACAAATGATGCAACGTGTCTGCCTCATGCTAATGCCGATCAAATATCAACCAGATTACAGTTACCTGCGGTGAGTTTCCATACACACCATCCCCGTTTTTCGTGTGATTTTCATATTCTGTGGAAGTGCTAACGTGGCCTTCTACGGCTGTTGGCCTCCAAAGATGCCTTTCTTCACATACTTCTTAGGACTGGCTTTCTTCAGCCAGACTCTCTGGTCAGAGTCACCTCCCTATTGTATCAACATGCCATTGGGCTGGCGCAATAATTATCCACTACTGGGACTGGGGGATTCTTTGCTCCCACTGGTGGCGAATGCTGCCTTCCATTCATCACACTAGCAAGCATCAGTGGAGCTCTCACAGTCCCCACTGTTTCTGCCTATGTACAATTGGTTTCCATATTCACCTAGTACGATTGAGTAGATCACACTGAACGGTTCGTTATGGTCACGCATGACCGACTCACCTCACACTTATTTTCCTTTTGTGGTCATCTGTTCTAACTCACCGCTTGACCAGCTTCGCTGTATTCTATTCATGAAAGTGCTCGGATTTTTGCATTTGGGACGCTTCAAATCCCAGCATGCCTGTCTCCCCTCAGGAATTGAATTACTGCTGAGTAGTAATGAGGATTTTGGTATAATACAGCTAGTACATCATCGTCACTCCCAGTCAACGGGCTTAGGCTAGTCTGGAAAAAGCACCAGACGCCGGCGTTTCGACCTTCTAGGTCTCGTCAGTGGTGCGCCTTCCAGCGGACCCCTGCCAGGCTCCGCCCCATGGCTTCAGGATGTCAACAGCTAGTGCCACGTCGCCATGGGTGACAGCCACAGTCCTGCGTGATTGACAGTTGACTATGATATAGCCCGGCTCATCTTCCACTGCCATGGCAGTTACGAACTGTGCAGAGGACAGTAGCTAGTCTCACGAGCTAGGACTTTCCGCATATCGCCTATGTACGACATAGGACTTAGAATTGAATTGTTTCAATTTCTCTGCCCGAACTTTTGTCGGCCACTAAAGGTATGCCACTAAACTTTCTTTGAACTCATCATGCTTAGATTTCCTCGGCTGCACTACTATCACTTCACTATGTTTACCACGGCATGTCGGAGACATTGGGGCTGAGTCAACTCTCTTCTTTTTGTCTTACGTACGCTTGGGTCTATCACCAACGCTCGAATACTGTCGCATTAGCCGAGGAGTGAGACTACTAAGGGACTGGTTGGCTGCGTTGGAGCATTCCAGCTATTTTGCTCTCTCGGACTCGGACGACGCCCTGTGCACTTACTGCAGCGAAGTTTAAACCGAAATGCTTATTTTTTGGCACGTCCCTTACACATTACCGTGAAGCTGCTTTACTGCGCGATCAATGTGCACAGCTAATGGGAAACGATTAAAAGTTGCGGTGTCGATTCACTTATTCTGATAGCCATGTCCTCTCCAGTATCCAATGTTCTGCAGTTGTCATACTTACTCAAACGATTCTGATGGCTGTGGGCACCAGCTGTTAATCTTTCAATCTCCCAATGGTGCGTGTATAATACAGTTTGTCGCCTCTGGTCCGTCTACTGAAACGCGGTTGATCCAATTAACATGTCACACCGCCAAAATACTACTTATTAGTAATGATATTACTACTTCAGGAAGAGTGCGCATGGATAAAAGTGGTCTGGTAAAATAGTCAATGTTCCAAGGAAGACAGAAGTAGTCGAACGATGTTCAAGCGATATTACGACCAGGCTAACGCACCCCTGAATTGTATAGGCCCTCCTCGATGGAAGGCGGTGACCTAGGTGTCGCCTGACTTCCCATCGGCCTTCGGGCATTGTGTGTCTGTGAATCTATGCAGCTACGTCAATGCATTCTTTTTGGTTTGTAAACGTCTATTGCGCAGACATCAGTGGTCAGGCACAATTACTCTCCCCATACCTTTAGTACACGGCTACCAAGTATCTGACCACGGCGCTGCTAACGCTTCCCTACGTGACTGATGCTTCGAAGGAACACACAAACCTTGGCAGCATGGGCAATAAACGTCTTTGGATGCTGGCATCAACAACTCACAGCAAGTTATCATGATAGTTCACCAGTAGATATGGTATTGCTGGAATACCTGTCGAGGGATGAGGATGTAAGCGAAATACACTCTATTTACTCATTCGTACCTATCGTGGAGTCTCCTAAGATTTGACTGATTCCACGATGATTTACGCAGAGCGTCCCTTGACTTTTCCAAATGTGAAATTACAGCTGATAGCTGCCAGTCTTGTGGTGTTTCCTTCTTGCACCTACCAGTGTCCAGTAGATAGGCCATCGAAATTCTTCAGCAACTGTGGTGGTATATCGTCTGAGTCAGGCATCTTGTTCCTATTAAGCAACATTGGCTTTGTCGGAGCTCATCGATGGTGACACTTGCTTCTCACACTTAATTTCAACTGACCCAACAAGCAGTTCTGATACTTTTCGCGGACCAAATTGCTTCTAAAGTTCCTCAGTTCAGTTTTGTAGTTGGCGTGGATGATAACGAATTAGCAATTTTTATCTACTGTGTTACTCTCGCAGATCTCTTTTGAACCGTTGCGTCGAATGAGTTGGAAAACTTACTGGAATACACACTGATATTTCTAACGGCTTTGGCTTTCTACATCCAGTGAACCCTCCTCATTTATCATCGCTCTTATTAATTCTCATTCTACGCCGGGTGACAATCCAGCGTGTTACGTTGGACATCATGAAAGTGACATTGCTGCTTAACCATATTTCTTCCTTCAATTGGGCACATCGAATCCCCAGTGTTAAGTGTTCTATCACGTCTTAAGTCGTAAGCCCTGAAGGCATTGGGAAGGTGGTCGTCTGTGATTTCCTGGATTTTCGAGCCATTACCCATAGCTACTCGCAGGACCGAATGATTTCTGCTTAGATTCAGCAGTCATTGTCCATGATAATCCCAGCGGGACCTAGCTGGATCCTCTGTTAAACTAAAATGATGTTAGATAGCTGGGATGGTTCCGTATACCTTGAACTGTCTATTTCAGTTTGTGTTGTCAACTAATAACGCTCCAGTTCTATCGGACCTTTGGATTTTTTGGTGAGATGGGAGAATGGCATGAGGGAATTGGCCGATGGACTGTGTCGTACCAGTTCTTGCCACCTTCCTGATTACGCGACTTGGGATTCGTCAGTACTATTCTATCGGGCATCGCATAGGTGGGAAGTCAACGGCCGTCTTACATATGCCCCATTACCTACCACGATTTTTTCTGTGCAGGGACCCACGTTTTCATATCTTTTCTGTATGAATCTTTGCCACTGTTTTGCGGTTTTGGTAGCGTCCGGCGAAAATAATTGTGCCTAACTTGAACGCAGGCGTACATATACTCGGACAGTAGGATACCCGAAGTCCCTCTCTCCATCAGCCGGAACGTGTCGCAACAACACCCGTGTCCCCTTTGAACCCACATCTCTCCATCCGTTCAGTTGACTCGAAGTGCGTAGCACGTAGTTTGACCGTCAAACTGCTGATGCCTTTACCGGAACATGCCACAGGATGCCGGCAGTTACACACTAGTGAGAACGCGTCGAAATGCTCAATAGCTGAGGAAAATTGAGTCGTTTTGGTTGGCCCTCGCGTACTTTTTAGTCTGTTTAACGCGTTCGTGTGCACGACGGGACTTATTTTAGCATGTGGTTACGTGAAATGATATATTGGTACCACCTGTTCCTCATGAGCATCGTTGATTGCCTTCACTGTTTGGTATCACTTCTTTTTACACTTTAGTGACCGTGTTGTTACCCCACTCACAATAACGCAATCTGTAATAAGTCAGCTCACAGGGTATCTCTACAGGCGGTACCTACGGCAACTCCCGGACCGACTGATTTGTACTTGACATACCATTTATCGCGGATCGGAGCAGTTTATCAGAACTATTTTAACAGTCACTCCCACCACATCTGAGAATACTGCATGGGGTTTACCTATCATTACGTTAGAACAATGTCTGTGGTTCACTTCAAGGTAAATGGAGCGAATACGTGCCGCATTGCGCTCAGACAGCGGGTATTCAAAATGACCTAACAATGAACTTTCGTATCTGTTCAATGCGGAAGTGCGAATGAACAAATGTTTCACCTCGGCGCATTAGCTTTCCTCGACTTACCCCTACTGACTGCGGAATACTGGCCAAATAATACAGCGTGCAAGCCTTTCTCTAAACTCTGTGACGAAGGAGAGTTTGGGCGCTTTCGCGCCATTTTAAGACAAACTTGATCCACCCTAGTGGGGTTTTTAACCAACTGCATAAATGGGCTTTGGAATTTAGCAATGCATAGTCTTGCTCGTTGTCTACAGCGTAGAATGCACATCGATGCAAATATCATCTAAGCGTCGACTGTACACCATGTGGCTGGGGCTATTGTTTGGTTGGCAGTTAAGTGCGACTAGTGTGGAATGATGGAATTGCGCCGATTCGATGAAGTACAGAATGGTTAGACTATTAGATTTACTAGCTTGCTTTTTCTTAATATTTCACTACATGTGGACTCACTCATGAGTAAAGACAACTGGGCTTCGACTTGAAGCTGGGACCTTTTGGATACCACTCGAAATCTCTAACCCTAATAGACCGCATGGGAGGCGATACTTGTGACGACATTAGTATTACGTGTGGTATGAATAAATTACGACGCATAGTCCCATTTGAGTAATCAGTTAGAATTTTTCTACTAATGGCGATGAAGCCAGCAAGTGATTCCTGGGAGTCTATACTGCACAATGACCCTGCACTCCATACACCCAGGCAGCGGAAATTGGCAGTCTCGTCGAGTGAGCTGTCGAGGTGGAGAGCGTTAGACAGGTAGGCACCTCGTCAACCTCGACATCAAGCGCAACCACTTCTGGGTTATCAAACAGCCGACAGCATTTAAAAGAGTATATATATATATATATATATATATATATATATATATATATATATATGCCTTATGAGCGCGAAGAATATGTAATATTGGACCACAAAATTTAGAGGATGACCATCCCATGATCGAATCATTTTATCTTTCAATC